TTGCTGCTGTAAAGTTTTCTGTTATGGCTTTTTGAACACGATGGCTGCAATCCAGGGGTATACGACTAATAACTGCCGGTCACTTCTGGCAAACTGACACTGGGGATCTTCATGTCTCCATTTCAACGTGACCGTTTACATATGCCGAGGTCTGGGGAAGCTTGGATCTGAGCATTCACGTCCTATACATCTTCGTGGCCTGTAGTTTATCTACACAGTAAAAAATCACGTCATGAAGGTGTGTAGGAAGTGTGGAGATAAAATTTTACGCTCCGTCAGTTTTATTACCTCTGGGGAAAATGCCATTGGTGTTATGTAGTGTTGGGCCTCAGAGCGAACCGGTGTGGATATGATGACGAAGGGAAAAATTATTATGCGTGATGGGAATCGAACCTCGGTTGTTCTACCCACAGCCGGTCACTGATTCGCATGCCCCAGTTTTTTTTTATTATTTGTTGACAGTTCTGTACCGTGGAACAGCAACGGATGCAGAATTGGTGTTTTTCTGTGAGGGATTCCATAAATCACAAATCACGTTGTTCTGGTTTCGGCTGCTACAAGTGACCCCACATCCCACGTCCGTTATCGATTCCGCAGGCCTGACAGCAGCAATAAGAGACTTGAACCCATAGAAACACCAGCACTACAGAGGACGACCCAGATCTCAGATTGTGGTCCACTTGTTGGGCGTCTTTCTCATGCGAGGTTCCCGTGTTCCTCCCTGCAGTCGCGCCATTGTTCACGAGGCCACGAAGACTGCATGTGCCATCGGGTTAGGCAAGGTGAAGAAAGTTGAAGTTATAAATGTGAGGCCTGTGGTGAAGTGGGAATGTAGTACCACGCATTCTTAATGTCGATACTAGATGGGGCGAGTGGTTAGCAGCACGCTTCGGCCTCTTTACCCTTGTGTATAGAGCGCCAGCATTGGTTTGGATTCTATGGAGAAGACAAAGTATCTTGCCCTTGCCGGGAATCACACCCCGGTCGTTCATCCCATAGCCATTCAGTGTAGGCGAACGCTGTAAAAAAAAGCACAGTGAGGAACAAAATTTGTGCTTTTCACCAGTTAATTTAGAATGATCAAATCAGGGATGATGCGATGGGGAGATAATGTAGCACGCATTTTGGCATAAGAAATGCGAAAGACAGGGGGGCAGAAACCATTTGGAATACTGAAGCTTAGATTTGAGGATAATATTAAAATGGACGTTCGGGGAATGGGTTTGGAAGGTGGCTTAGGATGGCCACAGAACGCAGGCTGTTGTGAACACGATAATGAACCATGGGGTTCTATAAAAAGGCGGTGAATTTTTGACTGGCTGAATATTCTGTTAGTATCTTAAGGAAGATTATGCTTCATGTAGTTAATACGACTGATGAGCAGGACATTCAACGTGTTGAAATTAAGTGGTACTTCACGTGTTCTGTCGTTAGGTAGTGACGTAAACTTTGTACTGAAATCATGACTGTTTCTTTGATCAGTGAGATTCATCTCTGTAATAGGCGGTTTTCACTTCGTCTTCTGTGACGCGTCAAGGTCTCTCCTGCTGGTGGCCAACCGGCCACGTAGCTTTGCACTGCTTATTTATGGGCCATTGGTTCTCGAGGACATTTTGTTCACAGCATGAGGGTAGGATATTGGGTCATTGAAAGTACATTTATGAGAACTTTCGTTTTCAAGTGACAACTTATTAGTAACTGGGTGACGGCTAGATGACTGTGTTGACCTGCGACATGGGCAGAAGTTCATCACCACGTACAGACCCGCTCTGGGACCACTGAGATTGGCGCCCAGTGGGAAGCGGATAAAGGGACCCCACTTGACTACTAACTAACCAGTGAGCTGCTGATTAACTAGTTAAACGACTGGTAACCTAGATAATGAAGTGGGTATCACATTATTTAACTGTTTGACAATGCAGCTTGAAGGATGAACACTTCAGTTCACAAAATTTCGTCCAGCTAAACTTTAATACTATCACCCCGTCTCCTTCTTGGGGGATATCTCCCGTCCAAATTATACATGAATTTAATGATATAAAATGAATGCAGGCCTGCTCGAAGGTTAATATTTTCGACTTTCATTCGTGTTTGCATGTATTTAATCTTTAAACTTTTTCATGTATTTATTACCTGCAGGCCTACTTGTAACCTATAAGCCGGGTTTGTCATGCTTGTATGTATATGAGCATTTGAAATGAGCCTCGTCCTACAAAGTACGACTCTGCACGTGGCTGTTTTATTGACCTCATTGAAACATGGTCTGTGTGCATGGACCGCGTTGTGTCGAACCTAGCGTGCAATGTGAATGTTGCAGAGTACTAACTGCTGTACCTCTGTTTCGGTTGTGATGCCCACTGGCATATGTGTGGTAGTTTCACCAGGTCGATTGTTAATGAAGACAGTGAAACTTGATACGCTTCGTGGTGACCGGAAACTGATACGTCAGAGCAACAAGGAGACAAGTCTTGTGTCTGAGTATCATTTTACTAAGCTTTGTTCACGATATATGTGGAACGAATGTTGCCCTCTTGTAGGATTTGAGGTTTTCACAACGGTAGGTCTGAGGATGGCTGTCTTTTGGGTTGCTGCGCCGTGTAGTCTGTTAGAAGTTGGCAAACTTCTAAGATTACACGGCCATCTTCTGTCGTCGGTAAATGTGGTTCATGTTGTAGCCTATCTCTGTTAAAATCAGGAAATTACGTGGTACAATTTAAGTGATTTCGAGGTAGAACAGTGAGAGCATTTAGAATGACCAAACAAACAGAAGACTTTTATTACACAAAAGATTAAATGTGATTCAGACATTAGAAAGTACCGAATGTAATGTCTAGCGGTTAGAACGCTGGCCTTGTAATCCTGGGGTCTCGGGTTCGATTCCCGGCGGTGCCCGAATTTATAACTTGTGTTGGACAAGGCCGTGGTCTAGGCAACACGGAGATTTCCTCCGTGGCATCCCAACCATTACTCCATTCACACACAGAAGAAGGCAATGGCAAACCACTTCTGGATCATCTGCCAAGAACGTATATGAACAGGTCCCAGTCCGAGAAAAGGATGGAAGGATCCTGTTCATATGGACCTGTCGTCAGACAGAACACTAATAATAATAAAAAAACTGAATGTATTTGAAACTAATAAATACGAAGTAACAGGAGGCTGGAAAAATTACATAACAATGTGCTTCGTGACTTGTAGGCCTAAACTGTAAGTAATAGTGTTAAGCTGATTAAAAGAACGAGAATCGAGTGTGTGGGAGACTCAGGGCGCAGGAGAGAAATGCGAAGTATGTGGTACATAATACAGTTTTTGGTCGGAAGAGACCAGATGATATGTCCAGAGCTAAACAGGAGAATAACATTATTAAAATATGATGTTAGATTGGGGATTACATGGAATTTACACAGGATAATGCCTCATTGTGGATTTTGTGAACACGGTAATGAACCTTCTGGCTTTATAAATACACGGGTTTTCTTGACCAGCTGAGCGACTGTCATCTTCACAAGGAAGATTCTGTATACTGCTGTTCCTCGCTACCCCCTCCCCCTCCGGACTTT